TCCGATCTAAAGCAGCATTTGAGTCGGAGAATCTCAGTTATTCCTTCCGTATCTCTCAGATAATACCAAATTGAGATTGGGCGAACTAGCATAAGGACAGAAAAGGGTTTGTCAATCTCATCGCATTAAACTAATGGTTAGACAAGATCTTGTGAATGATCGAGACAGAAGCAAACCCATTGAAATAAAAGACGAAGAAAAGAACAATTTGGTAGACTATAATAAAGAAATGCAAAAGGGTATCACTAGAAATGTGGTTCTGATCGTGCAGAAAGCGCAAAAGGGAAAGAGGGGAAGATTTCGCCTGAGGAATTGCAAGTTTTTACTGGTGGGGGCTAAGGTTTTCATCCAATTTTTAATCTTCCCGTTTATGGGATTGAAGGAAAGGCGAGAGTTTTGGGAGACTTGGAAGGTGAACCAACTCAAACCAAGGGAAGATTTTGGGTAAGGGGCGTGAAAGATATTGGCCCAGATTCCATCTTCTTCTCATCAAATCAGAATAGCTCACACTTTCCTCTCACCTTTCTAATTTTTACAACTTCCTCGCTTTACTTTTTACTGTTAACAATTGATCCCTGTGGCTGTGAGTCTCTGAAATAAAGAAGATTCGTTTTTTTTTTTAAAGAAAAGATAGCAAAATGACGACTTTTCTAGGCAATTGGCAGCAATAGTTCAACTTAAAGGAGCCTTCCAAACTGCACTACATGTTCATGAATCCCTTGTGAGAGAATAAGATGTCAGCGCATAAAAGAAGGAACGCCTTCTTTATACATTCATCTTGAAAACAAAATAAGAAACAGAACTTGCCCTCCGGTTACTGCCATTTTTGCTGTCTCGTGAGCTAAAAGATTTGGATGTCACCGACAATGCAGAGCATCAAAGCCGACGAAGGAAGGTGGGAAGTGAGGTAAAGGATATCGTCCACCACCAATCCAAGATCCGAATCATCAACCCTTCCCCCAAATGATCAAACTCAACTTTAGCAGACAATAATTCAGATTTATTGTAACGTCCAAAAAAAAAAAAAAAAAAAAAAAAAAAAAAAAAAAAAAAAAAAAAAAAAAAAAAAAAAAAAAAAAAAAAAAAAA